TGCTGCCATCCCAGAGGATCTCTAATACTCGAACAAACCAAGATACTTTTGCCCCGTTCTGCTCTGTCTCAGAGGTGCCTATATTGTCCACTGGCAGTTTGCAGGATTATTGACCTCTCTCTATGTACAATGGGGAAAGGTTGCAGTAAAGCCCCCCCTCTCCCTTGAGTAAAAACCTCTGAGAAGAATTTCTTGCGCCTAAGACTGAAAGTGCCTTAACTCCCGTCCCAGAGTCCCTCCCAAAGTGGCTGGATTGTTTGTTCCACCCCCAAACAGTTACAAAGCTCTTTTAATGAGCCTGCAGAGATTAGGGGGAAGGGTTGGAAGAGAAGGGGGGGGGGGGAAATGAGGGGATTAACCTTTTCTCTTCCTCAAGAGAGTAACTTGCTTCACATTAGAACTGGATCCCTCAGTAAGGCAGAGGGGACAGAGAAGATGCAGATACACACAGAGGCTGAGTGACTGTTTAGGCAGCGTTTGTCTGATTCCAGATCACAAATTCTCAACCACCTGCATATATAGCTCAGAGCATAAAAGAAGCCTCTACCCCCCAAAGGGGGAATTATGTGCCTCTAACTTGGGGACTGCATCCAGGCCACAGAAAAACGTGGAAAGCAATCATTATGGAAGTGATGAGTAATTCCAAAAGCCAGCACAGGAGAGAGAGCCCAGGCAGCATGACCTTCAGGCTCCCACCAAAGGGCATTGGGCCTTGTTGTCTCCCGAAGGGCTCTTCCGCTTGTGTTGTCCAGTTACCCCTTCTATGGAACAAAGCCCTCTAATGTGAGGCAAAGGCCCTTCCATCCAAGCAAAGCTGCCTCAGCAGACAGACTCTGTGGGTACCAGGGATAGGAAATGGAAAAGGAGTGAGAGAGATATGTTAGTGGAGCAGGGCCTCTAGGGAGACACTATTATTATTAATTCCAGAAGCCCTCCCAGATCCAAAGGCGATGGGTGTGTGTGTGTGTGTGTGTGTGTGTGCTGTGAAATCACCTTCTTTCCATGCCAGTGGGTAGTCACGAAGTGCTTCAGTTTAGGCAGGCACAGTGATCCAGTTTGACTTCCCAGACCACTGTACAACTTAACACTTGGGTAGCCTTTGTGAGCCGGCAGTTTGCACGCGCTCACGCACACTGACTGCCGTAAAATCGTGAGGCAGAGTTTGGTTACTTCCTCGAGTGGCACTGGCTGGGAGTCACTGGGCTCTGCAGAAGAATGAGGTACGGGCTGTGCTGCAGGTGAGGAGTGAAAATGTGCTGCTTACACCTGTTTCTTAACACCTGCTGGCGATGTCGGGGGCACATGGCAGGGGAGGCCAGTGGTCCCAGAAAGCAAGTAGGCACTGCTGAGCTGTAAAGGGGTCTCGGAGCCAGTTCTCAGCAGCAAGCAATGGTCATGCCGTGCCTGACTCCAAGCCCTAACGTAACAATGGGCCTTGTCGGTTGAACGGACTGAGCTGGCTGGTGATTTCCTTCCTTCACTAGACCACAGCTGATGCTTTTCTGTCCCTTTTGGCCCTGGGTCTTCAGGCCCAGGCTGGTTCTGGAAGGTTGGCGCAGTCTCTGCCTCCTCCATTTTGTCTGTGTTTTGTTGCAGTGAACTTCACCCTGCAGGCATGAAACTGTTCATGGGAGCCCACTTTTAAAACTGATCTTGCAGCCCTGTGAGGGGAGATTGCTTCTCCTTCCTTGTGGGTGGCTAGGCGGCTGAAGGCTGGATTTGCACATAATACCTAGGGCTAAGAGCTTATGGGCCCACCTTAGCTAGAGGGAACTGCACAATGGGAGAAGGGTTTCTTTTCCTGCTTTAGAAACTTTCTATTTCCTCCTTCCTCTTAAAGCTGAAGCTCCAAGGCAGTGCATGGGATAGCGTGGAAGTATATAGGCAGCTGGATCTATTTGGCAGGCTTGGGCTGGCTGGCTCCAGTCTTGTATCTGGCCATATGTGAGATCGTAGTGATTACCTTTTTAAAAAAGCCTAACGTGACTATATTGCATTTCTTTAGTGCCACTCCTCTCCTGGCACGTTAATACAGTTCCACTGAAATGCAGGTGTCTCCGGGGTTGAGAAAACCGTGCAGATAGCAGCATCGTGCACAAACACTTGGAGACCGGGCATTTTTGGTCAAGGACAGCAGAGTGAACTCTGCCTTATGGAAAACGCCATCAGAGCTACCATGCTCACACAAAGCAGACGAGTTGGGTTTTTAAGGTCTCACCTGAAATGTAAAACACTTCTCTACTAAAACCCATAATACTTTTTCGCCATCCCTCCCTCTGGCTGGGGGGCAGGTTCGTTAATTTCCTTAATGCCTGTAGCAGCGTCTCAGAAGTGTCTCTTGTCCCTACAAAAGCAGCAGGAGCTTTTCTTTTTTCTTTCTTTGCTGGGAAAGCGTGATAGAGGAGCTGAGTGGCCTAGTCTTGGTTCTGCAGCTTAGAGGCTCTGGCCCAGATCTGTGACTCCATTGTTCTGTGGGGCAGTGCCCTGCCTGCCAGAGGGTGTGGAAGGGAGCAGGGGTTGTTTGGGGCAGTTGCTGTGTGTGGCAGTGATGCAACAGTTAACTACTCTGACATAAAGCCAAATATCGCCACCCAACAATCGCCACCACTCAGCGGCAAACATGGTAAGAGCAGAGATGACCTTTCAAACCACGAGACTTTTCTCACCCTCCTTTCCTCCCCCCTCCTCCACCGCCACGTAATGCCAGCTCAAATGATTTACCTTTATAACAGAGACTAATTTAGGAGCGAGAGAGGAGGGAGGAAAAATAGGGCTGCTGTCCCTTTAAAAGCAGTACCCAATCTGTCTGCACTTGCTAGCCTGCTTTGCACCATAGGCCACTTTTCGAAATACCTTCCACTAACTTTCCTTGGAACATGAACGTGGGCAATCTCCTAGCTTATTTGTCATGTCAGCGTTAGAAGGTCACCAATGTTGTTTTTCTCCCCTCTCCCCCCTGCCCAGATTCCCGCTCTGTTTTTGACCTTAATCATTCAAAATGCCTTTGACCAGATAATTTCTGTGTGTTCTTGTTTAAAGCAATATTGTACTAAACCAGATCCCCATCCACTCCACTCCCAAGTGCCCACTTTTGCTCTGGCGCATACACTGGGGTGAATTGCCTTTCCCTGGATGCTGTGTCTCTGCCCACCCTCTCCCCTTTTAAGCCCAAGCCAAGGTGTTATTTTTATTTCATTTTCTTCTGCTCTGGAGGAAAGAGAAGACAAAGGTTTCTCTGTGCTTGTCTTGTGTTCACATGGGGTGGCGGGGGGGGGGGGGAGGAGCACGACGTCTTTGC